TGCTCTGGCAGGGAACTTCTGGGTGTGGCGCCAGGGGCACCCTCATGGTAACCTCTGCGCTCCTGTCTTCCCACCGGGGCTGCTTGTGCCCTCAGTGCTTGCAGAGCCTTTTTCCTCTGTCTCATTACCACCCGCAGAAGAGGCCTTCACCAGTCCTAACCTGCAGTCTCCATCTCCCTCCTGCTGTGAGATTTCTATAAGTAAATCACTGATGTCAGAAACGTTGCAGTTCAGTCACCACATGCCCTTTGGTAGTGTTCACAGTCAGCGTGGGTGCACACATCTTGTCTCGTGATCACACAGTGGGCCACGGCCAAGCAGCACAGAAAGTCCAAGAGCAAACCCGTGGCCCCTGTGAACGCTTTGCCCAGGGCTGACAGGCGGAGAGCTTCAAGGTACTCAGGGTGCCGCATTAATATTGCACACGTGTGCTAAATTGGTGGCCTCTGAAGCCATGGCACCTTACCCTGATCACAGTAGTCACACGGTAAGCAACATGGCCCACCTAGAAAGCCTGCCTGCAGTGCCCAGCTTTCAACCCCTTCCCTAAGAACAAGGTATTCACCCCTCAGAGGATTGAGACTTCACTAACTTTGCTTGTAAACTGCCTGAATATATCTATTTGGAAAGCAAGTTATACCTAGACATTTAAAAGCTCTTTGCATATGTTGAAGTTTTAAAAAATACTGCAGAAACTAATTTCAAACAGAAAGGCTTCTGAGTGACTGCAGGTCCTGTAAGCCTGGAATCCAAGCTGGAGAAAAGGCTTTTGCACAGGGAGCAGAAACACTAGGTGCCTGGATCCTTGGCTTTGGGACTAAGTTTAGGGACATTCTGACACCTGTTCCCACAGGTTTAGTTATTAATGCTTTGCAAGGTTTTTTTTTAATAGCTTCTTATGAATTAGGAGGAAAAAGAGTAAGTTTCTTTGGGTTAGAGTGGAATAGAGTTGGCTTATTGCAAGTGTGCAGAAGTTAGCACATTTAATGAAGTTTTCTTAGCAAAGGATTTGCATTAACTTTAAATCTCATGCCAGACATGCTGGAGATGGAAAGGTCTTAGGAGTACAGCTCTGCCCTTCATCCTGGCGAGAAGTGCTCTGACTCACCCCTACCAGTGAAAACAGGACCTTCCCTCAGCAGCAGGGGTAGAAACAGACTTCCTGTAAGTGATGTTTCTTCTGGTGTGCAACTCATAAACTGCTTGGCATTAGAAACTCTGGGACTTAGTATCTTTGAAATGTTGGATTTCCAGTACTGGAAAGCTCCAAGGGTAACACTCTGATGTACTCTTTAAAGATTTCAAACTACTTGGGATTTGTCCCACGCTCTAACTCCTGGTGTGAGTTGACTGAGTGGATTTGACAAAGAGTGCAAAGTAGCAGTAAGTACCCAACCTGACTCTTTGGATCAGAGCAGCTCAAGTGTGGGTGTGGGACTAGGAGATTCAGCACAGAGCGTGCTCCTCTTGGTGATGGAAGTCCCACTGCAGGACACCTGGCCTCTCCAGCAATGAGCCATGATTATTTCACCTGGTCCATGAGAGAACGGGTCTCGATCAGATTCAGGTCTGAGAATGCCACTGGCCAAGGAGTGAGGCTAAGAGTCATGTCAGTGATACTGAGTCCTGAGGCTGGGCAAACAAGGGACAAAAGGTAGACTGAGCTAGCTGTGGATTCCCAAAGCCACTCTGCTGTGTTCTCTCACAGATTTTCCTCACAGGGAAGCACGAGGAAGAGCAGAACTGGCTGCCTGCTCTTCCTGAAGCACCTGCTCGTTCAGGACGATGTTCTGGAAGGCTCTCCTAATTCCTCCACAGCCTTCAGCACACAGAGAGTGCCAAGGCAAGGGTCTGAACCCAGACGCAAGCCAAGCAGAGAAAGGATACAAAGGCAGCGAAGAAAACCTGTCTCCAGCACACAACAGGACACATCTGCTTTACCTCCTCAAACGCTGAGTTGTTTCGAACACCGTGCATACTTTTGCCTCCTGAAAGCTTGGTCCTGATCAGTTTCTCTCAGGCTGATCTCCATTTCTTACCCCGTCAATATCTTCTGCGAACAGCAGCTGCCCCCACATCATAACAAAACAAGAGAATCTCCCCTGACAGTTTACTGATTGGGTTGAATTTAATCTGATTTTTCATAATTACGAACTGATTTTGCCATAATATGTGGGATTTAGTTGAAACATTTTAATTATGTATTTTGAACCTTCATAGCCTGATTTTCACTGGAAGGCAATCTTTTCCTACTCTGGCATTTAACTGACATTTGTCCCCAGGTTGAAATTTAAACTAAAACCACGATCACTGCCAGCCTTTTAGCCTGTTACAGAGGGCAGGAAAGAGCCAGTCTGCGCGATGCTAGGACTCAGAGGTCTCCTAATGGGAGCTACTACTAAACTGTCGCCAGACCTGTGTGTGTGTGTGTGTGTGTGTGTGTGTGTGTGTGTGTGTGTTACAGAGGAGACTACTAAAGTTTTTTTCTTAAAAGATTAAAAAAGAGAAAGCTTAGGCTTTCGAACTAGCCGTCAAGTGTCAGAATATTGATTTTCTTCCAAGTTTTCTCCACAGAATTATGATGTCCACAGATTCTCTGATCCATCATCAGTCACAGATACAAAATGTTTTAAAATTCCCAGCACCTCCTCCATGACAAAAGACAAACAGATGTATGGATGGACAGACGGAAGTTGGAGCCTCCCGGACCTAGCCTGCCTGGCTCCCAACAGGCCCCACTCTGCCTGCAGACTATGGGGCTAACGTGTCCCTCTGCACAGCGAGGGCTGCCCGTTCCATTAGGCAGCCAAGGTCTTTGCTGGATCTACAAAGACATTGTGCAAAAAACGAAATTCCTCACTGCCATCAACTCCTACCCGTGGAATCCGTCTCACCTAACCCTCCCGAGGTTTAATCAGAGGGGAAGAAAACAAGGGTTTCTATTTCTATGCCTGAAAGTCCAGACCCTCCTCTTAATTCCTGATAAGGAACTTAAAGACACCCTTCTGGTCATCAGCATGGTAGGCCAGGGCCTCAGCTCACCATCACCCAACTTAGTCCTCAGCCTGTGAATAGAATGGGCCCACGTATTTCAGGGACTGTGAAGCGAAGCCTTTGTGACAGAACTTTCTTTCAGTGTGTGATCCTAAATCAGGAAAAGAGCTTCGGTCTCCACCTTCTGGAAATGTCTGATTAGCTGCATGGCCTCAGGAGCAGCTGATACCCTGAACACGTGGGCTTTCATATTTTTCAAACTAATTCACTTGGGTTGGATTGGGCTGGGTTATTTGAACATTTGTAAGTCAAATGCTTATGATATTGTTATATGATGATCAAGCAAGTCTTTTAAAAAGTAGCTTCCTTTATTAAAAAAAATTTTATAAAAAGTTTAAAGGCCACCAATACATAAAAAGTCCTCTGTTCTGCTTATCTCCTCCTGTCTTAGAAGCAATCATGATTAAATATATAAACCCAAGGAATACCTCGGTTACGTCATCTGTGCACGATTATTCTGACAGCTGTGATATTTACACACACAGCTGGGTGCAGAACCGCTGACTTGCTCCCTCCCTTCCAGGAAGTCTGGGCAGAAAGTATAAAACCTAAGTGCCCCGGCTTACTCCCTGCAGCTACAGCGGGATTTTAAAAACCTGTCTGTTGCTGCCTTGAGGAAGGTACTAGGCACCATTCAAGACTGTAGAAATCTGTAAATTAAGTCTGAAGATTGATCAAAAATGGGGTGAACGTTTAAATTTTTAAAATTAAGATAAAACTCTCATTGCCACTTGGCCCTCCCCAACACCACAGCACTCCGCCTTGCTTTGTGCTCCCTGGCCCCACCGTCCTCCAGTGCTTCACTGTGCCACATCTCCAGGACCACGCCTTGCAGATGGACCCGGTCACTGCAGCTCTGGGACAGCAGCATTACACTGGGGCAGAGGGACACAAGCGTACAGCACTCACCATCCATCCCTGGAAATAAACCTGCATCCCGCTCTCCCGTTTGTATGTGCCTCCTTGTTCTACAAATCACCTCTTGCAAATTTTTTTTCGGGTTTTTCTCCTACCTGTGTTTTCCTCCACCCTGGGAACCACTGTGTGGGCACACATTTTCATTAGGAGATTTCTACAATTCCAGGGAAGTTGAAGACCTAGGGGTTGCTCAACAGACAGAGAGTCTGAAAATCTTAAATGTCCACTAGCACTTATTTAAAGAAGAAAACAATGAATGGTAAACAACTCTGGCTAGTGTGGAATATGAAGGGAACAAAATCTGTTCGCAGAGAAACTGTCTTGGCCTAGAGAAAGTCTAGAAGGGGACGATGCTGGTCTGGGTGAGAACTCAGCCTGCATGCCTGGGGGTGGCAGGGAGCAGGTGGGGAGCAGATGGGGGAACTATCTCCACTCAAAGTAGAATTTCAAGTCCAAAGAGTCTTGGGTTTCCACGAGAACTGCCCTTCAAGGTGCATTTACTGCCACATGCTCCCTGCTCACCGGGTGTCAAGGCTCGCGGTACTATAATTAAGAAAGTAAAGTACGACTTGTATGTTGTTTCAAAATACTAACATGGCACTCTTAAAAGAAGGCTACAGTAGAATCACCTTTCACAAAAACTCTCATAAAAATAATTTAAGGAAAAGCTATGAAGATGATGAAGGCAGAGCACATTAGATGTTTGTTTGAAAGTATGAAACCTCTGGCCAGCGCTCTTACTGGCCATGTCGGACACAGCGATCCGAAAGCAGCGTGTGTTTTGGCAGAGCAGGCTAGTTCAGAGCAAAGTCTGGGGTTTGGGCTACTTAGCCACACAGCCTGGTCTGCTCTTGTCATGCACCACGAGTAACTTATTTAACTCCATTCTCACTTTGTTTATGTCTACAGTGGAGATATTAATAACACTGCCTCTCAGAGTTGTTTTGGAGACTGGATGCATGTCTGGAAAAGCACCAGGCACTGAACACCCTGAACTGGCTACCAAACCTGTGTTGACATAAACATACCTTCAGGAACACCTGCAGGTCCTGGGCTTGAGTATGTTGCAGAATCTCCTGTTGCAGATGCTTGAATATGGCCACACAGATGTACACTTGATAATCAGGACCAAGGAAAATGCAAGTAGCAATGTAATGGCATATTTCTATCCAATCCATGTAATTCCAGAAGCACTGAGTGATCCACTGCAAGCAAATCTTCAAAAAACAGTTCATTAAAAAGCTTGTTAAACCACATCTGACCATCACAAAGCAGCAACCAGTAACACAGAGCCAAGGAAAGCCTTGCATGTAATTAAGAGGGACATCGCATAGCTGCCTAACGAGTGGGCCTCGCCTGGCTGTCCATGGGCGAGAGCCCACAGTGTTTGGTTGCTGCTGCCCAGTGCCCTCCTTCTCCACGCTGCTTGCCTCTTACCCAGAACACCAGGTGCTGTCTACAGACAGCAAAGGGTAAGAGACTATTTTAATTCAGAGATGCGAATTTTCCCCTCCTACCTATAATCACAGATGTGTAATTATGCAGATGGAAGACTGCTAAATGTTACATCAATGCAAATAGACTCTTGCTGAAACAGAAAACAATCTAAACCAAACAGAATTATATAACATAAAAGCCAAGAGCAAAAATGAAATTTTTACAAAAGGGTCGTTTTTCAGTTTTGTTTTTGCCCTTTCGTTTAGCTTGTTTTCTGAATAACATTTGTTCAGATCATAAAAGCAACACACCCCCATTATGGAAAATGGAAAAGTTCTTGAAAAAATGATGAAGAGATTAATGGGAACAGTTTGGTACATTATGGACTGAGCCCCCAACTTTCCTTGAGAAAGATGTCAGAGTCCTATCTCTAACCCCCATAGCCCAGCATGTGACCTTAGAAACATCCAAAGAGTTTGGCTGAAAAGTTACTTAGATATCCAGGTAAGCCAGGCTGGACAAGGCTACTGAATGACCAATCCTCACGGTTTAAAGGCACTACCTTTAACAACTCTTCTTGCCTCACCTTACTTGCTCTCATCACAGATTTAGCTACGAGGAAAACTAACCTCAGAGTCCCTGTGTTTTAAGTGAAGTCCTCACTACCTGAGTGACCTTCCCAAGCTGATTCACTTCTCTGCTCCTGAGTTTGTCCATCAGCCACATGAGGAAGGCTAAAGGTTTAGATGAAGTTCAGCTGGGAAATATTTTTCAAACTACAGAGTTGTCACAACAATGCAAGACAGTATCCTTATTGTGCATCTAGGGAACACTGGTTTGCATTTACATGTAGGTTTACATTTTCATAAAGGGCCATCACAAAATATGAAAGTGTCCCGCCATCAGCTTCAGTGACAGGGTGGAGCCAGCAAAGGAGGAAAGTTGAGCAGGATTCTTACTGGAAATCTACGGGATGGTCCAGTGTCAGTGCAATAACCTGACACAAGGACAGGGACCCACGAAGTACAAGAGGCCTCTAAGGTCACATGCTGGGCTATGGGGGTTAGAGATAGGACTCTGACATCTTTCTCAAGGAAAGTTGGGGGCTCAGTCCACAATGTACCAATCATTAAAGATAAGCCATGAAAGTGAACAAAACATACTAAAGAAGTTTTTCAGGAAAAATAAAACTATTCAAAGAGTTAATCAGAACACAATTTTTTGTTACTCATTTAAAGAGAAAATATATTCAGACTTCTACTTTCTTTCTAATGTCAGTTACTCTTAAATGAAATTCTAATCAACAAACACGCATTTCTGAGCATGTTTAATGTTTTTTACTCTGGTTGAGCTTATTATTTTTACTCAGGAGATCTGTATATTTCATGTAGCAACCTTCCCACAAATCCTTCGCTAATCAACTAATCCCCGAGTATCTAAAAATACACAACTTCAAAAAGCTTTGCTCCTAATTAGATCAAAATGAATAAGCTTTGAAACACAAAATTCATACCCAAATAATTACCTAATCACATATACCTATTTAGTTACTTAAACCTGTTTTCACATTTTATAATTAGCAATAAAATGAAAAATAATATAAACAAAGCAATGATACGCACTTCTGAAGGCCAAATGATTAGCTCAACAGGGAGCCATCATAAGAGCATTTATACATTAGTTTAAGAAAAAGAATAACACTGCTGCTTAGAAATGTAATAAAATACATTTATTGAGTAAATCTATTTGTAATGCAGTTTCAAACTGATAAAATACTTTAATAAAATATATCAAATCAATAGAATGTTTTTTAATCACTAAATTGATACAGTGGAACCTGGGATATTCCAAGACTATTTCCATAGTCTTTAGTAATCTATTTTCACATTAGATATATTATGAACTCATAAATGTTAATATATTACCTAAACGGACTCAAGGTAAAAAAAAAAAAATCAATGATCACCTCAATAAAAGCACAAAAAACCTTTGACAAAATCCAACATCATTTCATGACAGAAATACTGATGCAAATAGGTACAGAAGAATCTCACGCTAAGCTGGTCAAAGCCATTTGTGACAAGCCTGTAGACATTCTACTGAAGGGTGAAAATCTGAACACATCTCTAAAATCAGAAGTCACACAAGGCACACCACCCCCCTCAGTCTGGTGTCGCAACTTTGGCCAGAGCAGTTGGGCAAAAGAAAGAAAAGGGTCATGCAGGAAAGGAAGAAGTCACATAATCCTTCTGTGCAGATGCCGTAATTCTTCACACACAAGGCCCACAAACCTACACCAGAAGACTTTTAGGCTTCATGAAGAAATCAAAACACAAAAATCAGCAGGAATTATGATTGGCGGAGAAATAAATCAGGAAAAAATTCCATTCACAGTAGCTTAAAAAAAAAAAAAAAGAACAAAGCAAACCTAGGAATTGACCTACCCAAGAGTATGGGAAGCAATGAAAACGTGAGCACACTGAGCACAGCAGAGTGGACACAGAAGACAAAGATCTTCCAAGCTTGTGAGCTGGCAGAATTACTACCATCAGAATGGCCATGTTACCCAAGGGGTACTGATCCATGGCATCCCATCAAATGCCAACAACATTCTTCACAGATCCAGAAAAATCAATCCTAAAATTCACATGGAAACATCAAGACTCAGAATAGCTACAGTGATCTCAGGAGGTGGGAGCAAGGCTGGAGGCATTATAATACCTGATTTCAAATCATACTTCAAAGCCATAGCAACAAAAAGAGCATGGTATGGTACCAGCACAATAAGAGACACATGGATCAATGGAACACAACAGAGGACACAGAAACAAACCCACCTGACTACAGCCATCTGATTGTGGACAGAGCAGCCATAACAATACACACTGGAGACATGACAACCTCTTAACAAGTGGTGATGAGAAAAATTGATCTCCACTCATAAAAGACTGAAACTACACCCTTGTCTTTCACTCGGTACAATCAATCCGAAACAAATAAAAGACTGAGGTACAAGACCTGAAAATGAGAAACTGTTAAAGGACAGCACCGAGAAACTGCTGTGGCCAGAGGCCCAGATAACAACTTGATGAGAGGGACTCTCAGCACACAGAGTACAGAGAATCAACACCGAGACCACATCACACTAAAAGCTGCGCAGGAAGTAAACAACCAGCAGGGCGGAGGGGCGGCCCACAGAACAGGAGGCTGTCTTCACCAGCTACTCTTCCAGTAGAATATTAAGATCTGGAATTTGTAAGGAAAACAAAGTCCTAAACACCAAAAGAATAAATGGAGAAAGGAATTAAACAAACACTTCTCGGAAGAAGTACAAATGGCCAGGAAGGAAGGAAAGTGGGGGGGCAGGAAACTAGAAGGCAGCTTTTGAGAGGGAGGATGGGAACAGGAGGGGGATAATGGGATGGAAAATATCAAGGTGTGTGAAATTCATGCGCCAATTACCCAAAATGAACCTTCCCATTCTGTATTACTAGCATGTAGTAATAAAAAATAATTCAAGGCTACTATGAAGAAAATACGTACAATTCACAAGTGGGAGAGGTTTGCACAGTGAGTTCCACTTTTAGAGAACATATAAACATGATTAAGGAACACACTAATGTGGGCAGTTAACCAGAAGATCTGACTCGTTAACAAAACTATGAACACATAATTGAATGGGCTAATGCTCAAAGAAACAGAAAATTCAAAAGAGAAAAATTTCAACTAGTAAATTAGTGATTAGTTTTTCAAAAGTCAAATGCCCCAGACCTAATAACTAGTGCTTGCTTCATTTATATCAAGAGAGTAATATCAATCAATTTGGTATATAGTCAAGGGTCTGAAAAATGTTCCTATTTTTTGATTAAGTATTTTTACCTTTAGGAACTCTGACCACAAGTTCCAATGCGGGGGGAAGGGATCAAAGAGCTATAACTCAATTCAAAGGAGGAGACAGTTTTAGGCACAATAAAGTTAGTGCAGTCTGATGACAACACAATGCAGAGACAGTCACATCTCTGCCCACAGCAGCCGGGAAGGCATGGAAGCTGCTCAGACCCAGGGCAGAAGCAAGGGCAGGGTCCTACGCGCTTTCCAGCATGCTAGGACACAGCCTCTCCTGCACTGGGGGAGCTCCCGTCCGGCTACCTCAGGGAACTCTGCGCTAGCCTGCATTTCGCTGTGGTCACTGTTGAGGAAGCACTGTCCCCACTGAAAAGCCATGGAATCTCACCAGGCTCTCAGAAAGTCTCCGTCCTAAGAGGTAAAAAGAAACTCACAGTCTTGGAAGACAGGGATCAACAACAGTCACAGTGTGGGAAGCCAGGGATCGACAACAACACAAATCTCATTAAAGCAAGCAGCCAAGGATCCATTAGAGACTGAGGTGTACACTTTTGTCAAGGTCAAGATGAGAGGCCCATTCTCCTGAAAGACCCAAACGTGGGACCTGAGGAGGTGCTCCTCCCCAGGGATTACCTGCGACGCTGCAAACCCAGACATGTGGAAGGCTGAGAACACCAGCGGCACCTCGGTCTTCAGTAGCATTTCAGTGCAGTGAGCGCTGCAGAAATACACGGGGGACAGGCCTGATTCCACTGTATCCACAGGCAGGTACCTCTGCAAGGAGAGAAGGTCGAGAATAACCCAACGCGACCCGACTCACACTTAGCTGAGCCTTTTGCTTTTGTTGCGAATTGCTGCTTCAAAATTTACGTGGTAGCATCACATTACTGCAGTTATTATGCATACGGAAATTAAAGGTCAGACTGTGAAATGCGGTGGCAGGGACACACCTCCATAAACGCAGACACCAAGACTAGCTAGACTACTTTTCATTTTTAAAAAGTTAACAATTTTAACTATCCAAGACACCAAGCCTAGCTAGACTACTTTTCATTTTTAAAAAGTTAACAATTTTAAATTAAACAAATCAAACATAAGTTTCCTATGAGATAAAAAATGGAAGATTTCTTCCTAACTTTATAGCTAAGGTGCACTTAGGTTGAAGTTACAATAATCTGAAATCACCAAGTTGACTTGTCAGTAGATTTCCTGTCTTGTCATTCTTCATTATAAATCATTTATTACTTCACAGTGCAGAAATACGTATTTGTAGGAATATATACATTTTGTATATCCTGCATGTGAAGCCCTTAATCCTATCTTTTGAACAAGAGAATCTTTCAGGAGGTCGTTACTAAACAAAACCCTAAAACAACTTACCATGTGATGATTCAGAAGACCCTTTGATGCATTTATGTAACTACAATTATATATAAAATACTGTATTTTTTATAACAGGTTCAATTGGAGATAGACACATGGAAAATGTCAATTCTATAAACTAGCAAACAGACTGCACATGAAGTGATCTTAAAATCAACCTTATACAGATATCCAGGACAAAATGATGGACTGAGAATTACTATCACCTGATTCATGCCATGGAAGACATTTGTTTCACAATTTGTAGAATAACTAAATCTAATAAACCTAGCGAAAGTCAATATATATTTAAATTTTCAATATAAACTTAGGTAGCATTTTTCCAAATACATGAATAATAGTCGCATAAGAACTACATGCACATGAAATGATTCTTATTGTAGATTTTCTTCTATGTTACTGGAAATACCTTCAAAGTAAGTCCATTAAGAAATAGAAGACAACAGAAATCAATTCTATTCTCAAAGAAAACAAGGCACTACTGTGCAAAGGATTCCAAAGACAAGGCAAGAGTCCTTCCATCTTTGTGAACTGAAATTATAGCGTGCAACTTGGTAGCCGACACAGCTCCTAAAATCAAACTTTACACAGAGTGCTACACTTGGTACAGACTCCACTGACTGCTTCCTGGGATGAAGGAGTCATCGATAATGTAAATTTATTAGTGGGTCCATCAGTTACCATCACATGGCCTAACTTGTGCAAAGTTTTCATAAAAGCTGATCAGTAGTGGCAGCTCTGATTCACATAAACACAACAAAGGGTCTTCTGCACACTGTTCACTGCACATTTAGGTTTCCAGTAGGTGACAACACCCTGAAAGAACAGAAACTCTGATTTCCAGAATACAGGGCCAAAGGACTGCACATGCAGGGTAATAGCACTGAATTATCCTGTACGTAACACAAACTACTGTGTAAATTATGCCAGGAAAGCTGCAAAAACAGTGGTCAAACAGACTTCTCCTAAGTCATTAGGAGATATCAGAGAGTGACATAATACGAAACAAAGATTTTATAACAACTGTAGGGTTCAAAACAAAAGGCAGCAGTCTTCGTTTGCTTTTCCACTACTGGGAGTTAGGAGGAGGCATTTTATTGATGACACAAAGAAAATCCTGGCTTTGCGTGGCTGTGGAAGGCAAATGGAAAGATCCCGCCCTAGACTGGAAGCCCCAACAGACTGGCCAGCGAGGGCTCATTCCAGAGTCCTTGGCAGGGTGTGGGGCAGGTGACATCAGCAGGCAGGCGGGCCTGTCCCTCCTGGAGAGCGACCCAGAGGAGACCGAAGACTTCTCAGAACTTTAGTTCTGTGACTCGAGAAAACGGCAATCTTTTCCTTTCAGGAATAAAGCAGGAAAATAGAATCTTCAAGTATGAATAAGACATAAATAAAGTCATACGAAAGAGAAATCCCAGACATTAGCCCTCGTTTCCACGAGGTTCACTGCCCAGGGCGACAGAGTGCTGTGACACGTGGGTCACTGCAACTGAACCCCACCAAACGTCACTTGCATCCTTCTGAGCCAGGTTATCACCCCAAGGAGTGAGCCTGGCCTCAGCGGTACTGACCGTCCCTGCACCCCACAGCCTGCCCTGCTGGACCAGCAGTTCCAGATCACAGGCTAACGTCTCACTTTGGCCCGATTTCACATCAGTGCAGGTTTGATTGTATATGCATAGAAAATTCTGTGGGTTTTACTTCAGTTGACTTGTTTGCCCTTTCTGTATGTTGTACTAAAAGAGAAGGCAGGTATGATTGTTACTTTTGCTATAATTAGTATGTGAAATGAGGTATTCCTACATGGAAAGCCTTTAAATTTTTCTTAAGTAACATTTTCTCAACAGCTTTAGTGTTAGTAATTGGCCAAACTGATTCTCATTGGAATTCCACAAACAGATTATCATTTTAAAAGATTTTTTTACAATTTAAAAAAATAATAATTAAAAACAATTTACTTTACTCAATTAATCAAAGAGTTACACAGATGGTCCTAAATGACTTCAAGGGATAATTTTATTTATTTATTTATTTATTTATTTATTTATTGAGACAGAGTCTTGCTGTGTAGTTCAGGCTGGCCCTGAGTTCACTATGTAACCCAGCTGGCCTTGAACTCGAGATGATCCTCCTGCCCCAGCTACTGGAGTGTTGAGAATATAGGCATGCACCACTATGCTTGGCCTCAAAAGGTAAATTTTCATATTAACTTTATCTCACGAGTAGTATGATCATACTTTGTAAAATTCTGAGAACTTCTTATCGTTTTCACTAGCAATTAAGTTTCATTGCATCTTGTTTCTCATGCTTACTTTTAAATTTTTATTATGTAATTTAACATATTCTTAAGAATACAGAGGATCCCGGGCAAGTGTGAGGTCATGGGTTCCATTCCCAGTACCAGAAAAAATAAAAAGAGGGGGGATCAAACAGTTTTTACTTATTTTTTCAGATTTTAAAGAACTAAAAAGTCCCTTACATGTTTCTATTTAAATATTAATTCACATATTTAAAATATATTTATTACCATGGGCTACAGTTTGGGACCTAGAGCGTACATTTAATTTATGGATAATATATAATATAATTAAGTATTTACCGGGAGTTGATGCACACTCTGATCAAAGATACAATAGGGCATGGCAGTGCAGCTGGGCAAACAGGACCAGAGGGACAGACGGAGGCTCCTGCAGCCTGCGGGCTGAGCCGAGGGACACACAGGCTCTGGACGGGCCACAGCCCAGCATCCCAGCAGCTGTAGCTCTGCAGTTGCCGCCTGTGCAGAACCTGCCCCGGGCTGGAGACGATGGAACAGATGGAGCAGAAAGGGCCGAAGAGCAGAAGTGTAACCTTAAAAACTCTTTCTACCTTATGGATACAGCCTTTCTCAGATTCTAGTTTACAGTAGTTTGGAAACAGTTCCTTTGATGAAAGTCTGCAAATCCTCTTATGGCATCTGTGTCATAGGGTTCATGAGAGGAAAGTTTCTCATTATGGTGAACAGCAAAAATTGGAAAGCTGTTCAGCACTTGCTCAAGGATGTTTCAAATCATAAAACCACAACACTTCATTTAATCCTTGGTGCCTTGGTTTGTCTTTACTATCATACACAAACATATACATGCATACGTACATATGCAAATGCACACGTATGTGAGACCCTTCTCACAGCTTTCCCCACCCGCCCGCACCTGTCTCGGTATGGACCCCCTGCTGGCATGGACCCGGTCACCGGAAGGGCTCGGAGGGTTCAGAGCGGTGGAGGTAGCAGGCAGCTTCTCCCAACTGCAGACCTCAGCCCAGTGCAATGTGTGAGAAAAATAAGGAGAAGCATCAAGAAGTAATTAAGAATATGCTCTTTGCTAATGTGATTGCTGAGATCTCGTAAGACTAACTTACTGTATCAAAACATATTTATAGGACCTCAATAAAATTCACCATTTTCAAAATGTCTAAAAAAAAAATGAGTCCTTTTTCTCTATCCAATGTGACTACAATTTCTACTTGATAAATGGTTTTCTTACAGTGATGTTACCATGAACAAGATCTACCGAAATAACAAAAAATCCATTCAATAATTTTCTCACATCTGGCATTTAACGAACACAACTTCATAAATAAATGTATAATGATTAAATAGTATCTAAAGTTAAACTTCCGTGTTATCATCATGCTGCGATTTCACAAAAATGCTTCAAGTATCATTACCTTTTACCCAGTCACTATTAGACAGAATACCAAACATTCAAGAAAATGTTACATCAGTATCCTCAGGAAGACTCTGTCAAAACTGTGCTGAAGACAAATAAGCATAAATTCCTGGAGACCCCTGTTCAGGTCAGGCGGCCCAGTCTGCAGCGTGCAGCGAGCAGACTCACCGAGCAGCGCAGGCGCGAAGGCCACAGGAAGGCGGAGGCCAGCAGCCTGGAGAAGCGCAGCAGGCAACGCAGCGTCCTCTCGGGGTCCCCGCCCAGCAGCAGGAACAGCGAGGACGCGAACCAGTCGAACCCATCGTGGCCCGCGGAGGCCCCTTGCAGGCAGACTGGAGCCGTCAAGGAACCGTGCAGAGGGACCTGGGGTTGGGGGAGGAGCTGGGCCCCGCAGGGCCAGGGTCCCTGCCCAGGGGAAGCCAGTGGCACTGCTGCTCGCAGGGCGATAAACTCAGGATCCTTAAGTGTTAGAAAGATACAGCGCATGCACAGTTATACTTAAACGTTCTGTGTGCGACACACCCAGGGGAGGCCAGGGCCGCAGCGGTGGGAAGACACCCAGCGCCCTCGGAGGCCAGCGCCGCCGTTCTGGGCTGGGACCTAAGCCCCTTGGTCACCAAGGCAGTGCGCGTGGGCCCACACGGCCTTGTCTGGAAGCAAACTGTTTCGGAACAGCTCAAAGAAGTAACGTGAGGGCCGGCTGGGGGTGGGGGGAAGCGGCAGTATCCTCGTTCTGGCTCTACGAAACGAGTTTTTAAAACGTCCTTTGGAAGGTCTGACAGTCAGTACTTTAATTACTTAAAGAGTCAATGAATATGACTAAATCTAATGATTATGACTCAATTTAAGAAAATTTAGTTTAAACTACAGAATAAAGTACCATCTGGATAGATCATAACAAATCACTAGTGTAGCCTAAAGTTTTATTTTACTAGGTGTTCAGGTATCCTATCAAAGAAATATGAAAAATGTAAGAAGATATCCAACTATTGTGAGTCTATTCAAAAAGGATACAAAGAGAAGATTTCACAGGTGCTTGCTGCAGCTTTAGAAATCTGTCGCAGTGCTTCAATACCAAGGCAAGATCGGTTTCGGCACCATCCTTCAGCAAGCTGAGAAGCCTGCCGTACCTGCGTTAAAAGCCCATTAAAAAGCATTAAGTGGAATCACGCTCTGCACTACACAATCGCATTTTACAAGTCCATCAATGCCTATTCCTCTGGATACGCCAAGGTTTCCATGTTGGAACTCCTACATGCAACAGTGCACTCAGGAAAGATGACCCCTCAGCACCTGTTCCCGGCAGCTGTGGCATATCTGGATTAGCAGGGGGACCTAGGTGATACTAATAACCTTACAGGAGACAGAGAAAATAAAATGCTCTAAAGACACACTGGAAGTAGTTATATGCTAGTCCAAGTAAGACAGTACTTTTATAGCAGTGTGTGATGGTACACAGCTGTAATTCCAGCACTCTGGAAGGCTGAGGCAGGAGGACTGCAGTATGGAGCCCTGCCTGGGCACTTAGCAACTCAGCAAACCTTGTCTCAAAACAAAAAAATATGAGGGGCTGAGGCTGTAGCTCAGAGCAAAGGCTCCGGGTCCAATCCCCAGCTCCACGGTCACACAGTCTGTCTGTTTTGCTTGAAATCTCACTGAGCTGTGGCCCCCTTCAGTGAAGTCCATTCTGTGGTGGCACCACCTGGGGTGTCCAGGGGCTGGAGCAGAGCCTGTCGGCCAGGGCTGCTGTGCTGCCCTCCATGATTCTACATGGGTGCCAGCTCAAACACACTCCACGCTACCCCCAAACTGCATCACAGTCATTTCCGCCTGCTTCCCGCAAAGAAGGTATTACCCTGAGTTAAACATCCATGACTGCCTCCTGTGTTATCTACCACTCTGAGATGGAAATGCAGCAGGATAGTACGTTTGGGTGGAGCCACAGAACAGGATGAAGGAAGGCACACACACTACGTGATCGGTGGACAGCTAGAATTCATGCTGCCATTTCATCAAGCTGTGAATTCATGAAACACTCAGCTCTCTAACAGCATCACCTGCGCCCCTTTAATCCTGATACATAAACTGACTCTGTAATCACAGCAGGGTGCCAAGTCCCCCCCCCCCACCAAGAAGGCGAGAGAGGGGGGGGGCTTCAGGCACTTACTCCTCAACGCCCCATCCAGATCTACAATGCCCATTTCTTTCAAAGCTGCAATTTGAGCAGTGACAATCATCTTGGCACATCTGAATCTAATCCTATAGTACTTTTGTACCCATTGCCATCATGTAACAATTAGGACCCATCAAACTTAAGAAAATGGTAGGACTGTGCTACCAGCACACTGAGGTCCACACTGCTGTCTGGAGAGAGGACAGGAGCAGACTTCACCGTGCCCTGGGGCCTCTGGATAGTACTGAGCCGAAACTGACTTGCAGGGCCGAGTAAGGTAACCATGTGCTGACATCCCCAAAGATGATGCTGTTGTTTTCTGAATGATAAACCCTGCATTTAAAGTTTACAGAACAGTTGGCTGATAAATATTATTAAGTTCATGCCAGGTAGAATCTTTGGTAGGCCTGAGAGATACCTTCCTGCACGTACCTGACAGCCATCCTCACACCAAGCTGCTGCACAGTTGAAAGGCTTTCATTCTTCACGTCTGCATCAGTAGCTGAAAACAACAGAAAACATAATCATAAAATGTGTACAAGACTGTATAATAATCACATTTGTAGTGGTTGATACACTGTGTCAACCTGAAAAGTTTAGAAGCTAATGGAGTGTCTTAGGAGTGGGCCAAGACCTTCACTTTGTAAACATCCTGAGCCTGTGCCTGAGGGCAAGAGATGCTGTCAGTGCTACACCCACCCAGTGGAGTGACAGCCTGCTTACGGTATATGGAGGAAAAGAGCTTCCTCTTTTCCTCTGTGATCTTGCTGCTTCTGCTGTTCTGTGCTGTGCCACCTTGCCTTGGAGCCAGCTGATTATGATCTGAAACCTCCATGAACTATGAGCTAAATAAACCTTTCCTCCTCCTCTAGTTTTGGGTGTTGGGTATTTTATCTCAGCAAAGCAGAATTTGGTACTAAGAGTAGTGCCTTGCTGTGAGTGTACCTGTATCTGGTTCAAGAGCCTTTGCGAATGGCTTATGGGAGAAGTTTGGAAATGTTCAGAGATGTTGCCTAAAAAAGTAGTGCTGGAATGCCTAAGGCTGTGCTGTATGGAGATTCTCATCAGAGCTCGAAAGACCAGAAGGCTAACAGAAATCCTGCCAGTAAGTCCCAGCTCAGGAGGCTTCTGCTGTGAAGGACTGCACCGGTGCTGGACTCCAGATGATGTGTGTTACGGCTTGGCAAAATGTTTGTCTGTATTTTGCTCATGTCCAGACTTTGCCTGACACTAAGATGAAAGGCAATGGACTAACTAATCTAGCAGAAGAAATTTCCAAGCCATAAATATTAAAGCTGTGGCATGGCTATGTTGGGAGCTTTCAGTCAGATTTGTTGTGAATTAAGAGCAAAGAGCACAGCAGCAAGATTTTTAATGATTTTTTTAAAACTTGATTTTTTGAAATTTGCATGTGAGTATATGCTGTTGCTAGTTTTTCTGGTTTGCCTCAATATTCTTGTGCTTTCTCTTTCATTCTTTCTCTATCCTTTTCTTCCATTTCACAAAGCTTGAGTGATCATCCTCTGTCCTTCACCTTGCTTTTACTGTATTTCTCTTCATTATCTCTCTCTTTCCCCATGTCACTCTTAAATCTACCCACACACACAGGGCAAAATCACTCTACTAAAGGAAGCATTCACCGTGGAAGTCCCTGATTGATGTTACATTTCATTATGTAACTGCAGATCTTGCTCCTATCATTAAAAGTGTCAAATTAATAATTACCATACTTCGTTAGCTGCCAGGCTATATTTAGTGATATTGTTATTGTTACTTTTGCCTGGGTATAATACCTGTTGTAATCAGTTGTTCTCCCTTGCATGAACACACTGATTGTTTGGGATCATAATCATCATCAGAGTTCAGTACCAAAGGACTGGGTGCTGAGTGAAATAACAAATTCCTGTCCCTAAAAACTGGGAAAGTAGGATCTTGCAACAGACACCAAGGCCAAGAGCAGCATTATCTAGAAGACATCTCTGAGGAACAGACATTTCCTAGGGATGTCCTTGATACTAGTGATCACACTACCTGTCATAAGCTGTCCAGAAGTATCAACACTGAAAACAAATTAAGCTTTCTGTAAAAATAGAAACATTAAGACACAGAAGCCAAATGCAACCCCAGACCTCCAGCCTGTTAAAACCAGGGGATAATGAGATAGTGGAAATCTGAATTCACCTACCTGAACTTTCTGAAATCACAGCAGCAGAAGAAAAGAAAACAAACAATCAAACAAACAAAAGACCAAACAATGAAAAACAGGTGAATGAGGCCAGAGAAAATCAAATCAGAAAAAAATCTCTCAGGTGAAAAAAGACATCAAAATGAAAGACTTGTTCTGTGAATCTAGAGCAGATATAGATTTAAAAAAAATAGAGCAGCTTTGGAAAATTATAAAAGCCAGGAACACCCAACACAGGAAAGATATGGAATCCAAGAGACAGATCCACACATCTATCCAAGAGGTTAAAAATTTCACTGAAAGGGCGTGCAGCTGGAAGAACCAAGGTGAGAACAGAATATCAGGTCTAGAATACAGGGTTGTGGTTCACAGTCAGGAAAAGAAAGATTTCTTAAACACAGCAAAGGATCATGAAAATCCAATAGATGTAGATGAGGCAAAGATCAACATAAGACTTTCTGGAGTCAGTGAAAAAGCAGGAGGCAGTGCAAATGGCATAAAAAAACCTGTTGATAGAAATAAAGGCAGAAGACATCCTAAACATGGAAAAAGAATCTGACATTCAGATAAGTGGGGCACATAAAACTTCAACTGCTGTGACCAAAACAAATCTACATAAAGGCATGTAATCATCAAAATTTCAGAAAGTCAGCATACAAGAAGAGTATTAAAAGCTGTTCAAGAAAAAAAAATCGTTTTTAAAGAAAACCTCATCAGAATCACAGGAGACTTCTCAACACAAATGTGTAAGTCAAGGAGAGATTACAGTGAATTATTTCAAATAAAAAAAAATTAAAACAGATTCATGACCCAAAAAACAGCTCTCCAAAATGTTGTAAAGGATTTTTTAAACAAAGATAACAGAGATCACAATTGCAAGAACACCAATAAAAATAATCCATCAGGCAGAGCAAGCAAGGAAAGAAACAGAGGGAAAAATTAAGAAACCAAAATCCAGAAAATAATACGACAAAAGATAAGCTAATCCATCTCAGTTATGTAAATGGTCTAATTAACCAATCAAAAGAAACAGACTGGCAGAATGAATCAAAAAGCAAGATCCAACAATGTGCTGCACACAAGAAACACAACATTTAACTCAAAAAGAAATTTGTAGTCTGAAAGTCAAAGCATTCAAAACAATACTCCATTTGACAGGAACTCAGAAAAAAGCAGAGGTAGCTATTCTATTTGCAAACAATATGAACTACAAGCCAAGACCAATCAAAAGAGACAAAGAAGGTCACCACGTACTTGTAAAGGGAACAATCCAAAAGGAAGAGATAACAATCATAAATATATATGCCCCAAATACTACTGTACTATATACAAGAAATATATACAAGAAACACAAATTGTCATGAAAAATCAAACAGACTAACACGATTATATGGTAGACCTCAGTACCCCACTGTCACAAATAGATCAACTAGACAAAAAAATTAACAGATAAATATAAGTACTGAGTCAAACCGGTGAACAAATGGATTTAGTAGATGTCTGAGTATTCCACAACATTAGAATACACATTTTTCTCAGCAGTACATGGCATATTCTCCCAAATGGACCATGTTCTAGCCCACAGAATTGTTTAACTATATGCAAAGAAACTAAAATTATTACATCCATGTTAACAGACCATAGTGCAATGAAACTGGAACTCAATGGCAAAAGAAATCAAAAAACTTCCATAAACACATTGAAATTAAATACTGCCCTCTTGAACAACCAATAGGTCACAGATGAAATTAAAAAAGAAATTAGACAGTTTCTACAATTAAACAATAATGCCAATACAATGCATCAGAACTTCATGGGATGCAACAAAACCAGTCCTATGAGGGAAATTTTTAGCAGTGAATTCCATATCAGAAAAACAGAGCAAGTTCAAATAAACTAATATAGAATCTAAAATTTCTAGAAAACGAAGAACAAGTCAAGGAGCTCATATGAAGAACCAAATTATATAGTTCATAGCAGATATTAATGCAATGGAAACTAAGAAAACAATACAAAGAAACAATGAATTGAAGTTGATTCTTGAAATATTAAATAAAACTGATAAATCCTTAGCCAGCCTTACCACACAAACAAAAGACTCAAATCCATGGAATTAGGATGAAACGGTGAAACCACAATGGTCCTGCAGAAATCCAGATGATCATCATAATCTACCTCAAGAATCTGTATTCTAGGAAGATGGAAAATACGGAAGAAATGGACAGATTCCTAGATAATATAAATTTCCAAAGCTAAATCAGAAGATATAAAAATTCTAAATAACCCAGTACTAGTCAATGAAGTCTAAGATGTAACTCAAAACTTACCAACAAAGTAAAGCCCAGATCTTAATGGATTTATTGCTAAATTCTACAAGAAATTTAGAGAAGATTTAAGGCCGCCAATACTGCTCAAACTCTTTAATGAAATTGCAAGGGAAGCAATACTACCAGTTAGTCTCAAAGTACGTATTACTTTGATATCAAAGTCAGAGAAGGAGCCAACCAAAAAAACAGAACTCTAGGCCAATCTCCCTAATGAACATGGATGCAAAAATCTTCAATAAGATACTGGCAAACAAGAGTGCTTCAAATCACCCAGAAGATTATACACCATGACCAAGTTGGATTCATCACAGGGCTGCAGGGATGGTTCAATACATACAAGTCAATAAATGTAAAACAATATATCAACAAAGCCAAGATCAAAACACATCATCTCAACAGACACAGAAAAAGCACGTGACAAATGCCAATACTCATTCATGGTAGAAATTCCAAATAAAATTGGAATAAAAGGTCTTTATCTCAATTTGATAAAAGCCATCACACCAACAGCCAGCATCATATTATATGGACAGAAACTGAAAGCTTTCACTTTAAAATCAGGAACAAGACAAGGATGTCCACTGTCACCACACCTATTCAATAAGTGCTAGAGACATCAGCCAGAGCAATTAGACAAGAGAAATAAAAGGAATAAAGACAGGAAAGAAAGAAATGAAACTATCATTATTTTCAATGACATGATACTTTAACATAGAAGATCCCAGAAACTTCACTAAAAAACTGACAGATTTATAAGCAAATTTAGTAAGGTAGCTGGATACAAAGTCAACACTCAAAAATCAATTAGCCTTCCTTTATACAATAATAAATTCACTGAGAGAGAAATCAAGGAAATAATACCTTTTATGATAGTATCCAAAAAAATAAAATACCTAGGAATCAATCTAACAAAGGATATAAAAGACCTCTACAAAGCTGAAAAAGGAGATTGAAGAGGATACTAGAAAACTGAAAGACATCCCTTGCTCT